ACAAATGAAAGGCTCCCTGTGGTGACTCAGAATAAAGTTGTGGTGAAGTCAGGTCATCACACAATAATATCCCTAAAGGTAAAGGCTGCTGCATTGAATCTGTAGGAGTTTTTGATTCTATAAATATCCATTCAGGATGGCTGTTTAGCAGGACTCTGTTTCAAGCTGGACCAGAGAGCGAGTTCTGGGTAAGAGCAACTAATGTTACTGACCACAAGGTGCAATTAGTGAAAAATAAGATTGCATGGACACTGACCAATGTAACTGGTGCCTTGAAGGCTTAAGCCTCTCACAGGGGCAGAGGTCAACAGCAGTGAAGCAGCCCAGTCAGTAGAAGAGCTAGAGGTTGACTTGACAGAAGCATCCATAGAAGGCAACAAAAGGAAGCAACTAGAACAGCTGCTCTTACAGAATGCTGGTATGTTCTCCATGAATAATGTGTCTGTCTGGGTTTACATAACACTGCCCTCTACTGGATATGAAATCAGACCTAGTCAAGTAATTTGTGAGTTCCACACAGTGAGTGTCATATAGGAAGTAGCATGTACCACTCTGAAATTGGCCTTTCACCTTTTTACTTTTAGTCTTACAAACAGCAATGATAACATTGTAATCTATCCCTATACAAACAAATTACAGATTGTATTTTCTTTTAAGAGCTGTCTGGCAGATAAAAAGAATAAACTAAACTAGTTCAACTTGTAGAACATTCATTGTATATACTCGATATTTTTCAAAATGTCACTTAATGTTACTTAGCACTTAAAATGTTTAAGGAACTGAACAAACACTAACTAATTATTAACTTCACATCAACCATGTGAGTCAGGTAAGCGCTATTGGTGAGACTTTTAAAATTTGGGTGCCTAAAGTTAGGTGTCCAAGTTTAAAAATTCAAAGCTTGATGTTACACTATTTTCTACCTTGTGCAGTCATTTGAACTATGACACCTGAATGTGAAATGTTGTTATGCAGATGTGAATGACCCCACAAGGAACAAAGCAGTGGAGAATCTGACCTTTTGGCCATTAAATTGTATTTTATGTATGAGGAAATGGAGAACGTGAACTTCACAGAGAGAGAGAGAGAGAGAGAGAGAGAGAGAGAGAGAGAGAGAGAGAGACTCTACGT